AATAGGTAAGTAATACTCAGGATAAAACTCATAAATGTAGAATAAATATTTGTAGATTGAGTATTAGATCTTTGAATGCTTCTGGAGGAACACTTGCAGAGTCTCATGCTTCGTGAATCAACCTGAACAATAGTCATATAAAGATCTCCAGATCTTACATTCGTTGCAACCAACCTTGTTTAGAAGGAGATATACTTCCCCGCCCCCTGGTCTTCCTTCACCTAGACACGGACCAGGTCTCTGGGCGGATCAAAGGCATTGGAGCATTTTTCCCGGAGGGGAATTATATAGATATGCAAAAACAGGAAACCCAAAATACTAAATTTTCATTGAATGCCGGCTCTAGGGTCAATATTTTAAGGAAAACATTCTCCCTCACAGGCTTTTTTTTTACTTCAAATGTCATACTGCAAAAGTGACATGCAATTAAAAATTAGATTATTGCAGAAATGGCTCTGATTGAAATGTCGTAGTGCTAAAAGATGTGATAATAAGTTTGAAAATCAGAACCATGCAAGATTTTTTTTTTCCAACACACTAGGGATTGGGATGGTCTACGCAGTATGCATAAATAATTTGTTATCGCGTCAACTTTTTTATTGCAGCTAAACGTTTTTTACTTGCTTTTTACATCACGATGATCAAGGTCTTAATATCTACGTTTGAACAAATTAAATCTTGCTGAAAAATTTTTTTGGATGCTTTTTACAACACCCTAATCAAGGTCTTTATATCTACGCTTGAACTAATTAAATCTTGTTGAAACGTTTTTACATGATTTTTACAGCACACTGATCAAGGTCTTTATATCTACGCTTAAACTAATTAAATCTAGCTGAAACGTTTTACATGATTTTTGCAACACACTGATCAAGGTCTTTATATCTACGCTTGAACTAATTAAATCTAGCTGAAACGTTTTTTTTACATGCTTTTTACAACACCCTGATCAAGGTCTTTATATCTACGCATCAACATTTTAATATATCAAAACGTATTATTTTGTGACGCTCAGGTTAAGTCTGGCGTAAAGATTAGTAAGGCGGAAGGTTTTGTTAGACGTGGAAGCCAGGGAAAATGTTCTTTCTTTACTCCAATACGTCCTCGTCAGTGTACTCAGGAGTTCAGAGAATTTCAGGTCAGATTTGACATCATAGTAGAAAATCCTCACAAATTTATACGCTTTGCTTTTAAGCAACCAAGGACCTACGTTTGTGTATTTTTTTCATAGAGGGACGAACTGGAACCGTATCAATTTTTTGTTTTTATAATTAAAACTTATTTTCGGATGAACCAAATTGGGATTGAGTTAGGATTGTTAAATTTGCTTTCAGTCAGAATTTAAGTAAAGAATTTTCAGTCTTGATTTGAAACTATAGAACTACTGAAAATATGTTGAGTTTGGTAGCTAATTACAGGTTTTGATTGTACAGACCCATTTTTCAAATTTACAACAGCAAAATTGTTGAAAGAAATCTAATTAACAATTTTGCTTCAACTTTTCGGTCTTTAGTTTTCAAATTATTTTACTAATATTTAAAGCTTGATTATTGATTAAATACTAAGTTTTTAAGTTTTCTTTACATTTTTCCCTAATTTCAGGCGATGAATCAAGTTACCACAGTTTATCAAGACTTTAATGGTAAATTAATCAGGTAAATGCGAATTCAATGAAAAAAAATTATAAATGTCTAACCTGTTGGCAAATGCACTAAGCTTCAGGGACTAAACTCTATTAAATGGACAGATTATTAAATTTGACTTTAAAGGAAGTGACCGGCAATGTATGGTGGTTGAACTGATAATGGATGATTTTGAACGTCGACTTTGCACTCAAACTCAGTATTTATACATTATTAAAACGTTTTATACGTCTCAAATGAATCCTACAAAATTTCTCCACAATACTACATTCTTAGTTCAACTACCACACATTGCCGGTCACTCCCTTTAAAGCGCTGTATCAGGGAAACTTGTCCATCTTGTATGTCAAAGGTTAAAACGTTGACGGGGAAATAAACCGTCATACATAATATATTTAAATGCTTTTTTGATTAGTTATTTGAATTTTAATGATTTTCTGATTGTAACTTTATGCATTTGTTTCGATTTTTACAATAAAAATTAGTGCCATTCATGCATAAATCAAAATTTTAATTATATTCATTTTTTATTTTTAGGTTTTTGTTATTATCAAATTTTAAATTATATACATTTATTATTTTGAGGTTTTTGTTATCATTTTCCCTTTCTTTTCTTCTAAACTAAACTAAAATTAATAATCCCCATTGAAATGAGAGAATCTGTTATTATCGTTTTATAAACTTTTCATTCATTGTTTGAAGTGTTGTAATTAACCTTTACCCAGCTTTAGCAATTCTTGTAAATAATGCATTAAAGTTTTATGAATTTGGGATTAATAAGAATTTGAAATACGAATAATTGTTTTCTATTTACAGCTTTATAAGGCTAAGTAAATCAACTGATTCTTGATAAAGCTATCAAATATTAATGCGCAAAATTGTAGAAGTATAAAAATAAATCTATATATAAATGAACTAATACTGAAATACTCTGTTTCAGATGAAATAAAAGCTATAAAATGTACGAGGAAGATTTCTATGAGTTGACCGAGAAGGAAGCGAAATATATTGAGGACACAGAGCAGTTGTATTTAAGAAGAGAAGGTTTGTGTGGACAATAAATTGTTAAATGACGATATTTTGTGATACTATGATGTGGTAAATCAATTTTACTCTAGAACTTGATAACGGCGTGTTCGTGATTTATTCCCAAAAAGTTCAGATCTGGGGATTATAAAAGGGATTCGGGTTTCTTTCAAGTTTCTTAAAAATGCTAATTTTTCTTAGATGTTATTCGAATTGATTAAAAAATGTCTGAAAATTTCTATTAAAAATTAAATTTAATTCATTTGGTTCAATTTTTAGTTAAGGTATTTTGAACTTTCAGATCATAAATTGTTATAAGTGAAGAAAATCTTTTTAACTGTATTTTTTTCTAGAAAAATTGGCTTTTATATGTTACAGCCTAATATTATAAAAGATTTAGTGGTTATTTTTTCGGAAATAAAAAAAAAATGGATTTGGGAGTTTAGGGGATTTTTCATCGTACTTTCAAGTACTAGAGTCCAATGACATCCCTACCTTTTGTGGTTTGATTTAATTTGGTCACGCTGACTTGGTTTGTGCTGATAACAAATATTTGATTCGTCGGTTGTGGGTTGTTAAAAATATTTTGTTATTTAGATGTATAATTTTGGTGTTTTATCCGTTTGCGAAATAGGCGTTGTTTTATGTCTTAAATGTAACTAACAACAGTTTTTTTTAACCAATCCTAAGGATCCATTCTGTAAAAATTAAATATGTAAAAATTCGGACATTTTCTGCTGAGAATCTTGGGGATCTAACATCTCAAGCAGGCCTAGAAAATAATTTGACTTCTCTTGATATTCTGCGATGGTCATACCCTGGAGGGTTAATTAAAATTATTTATTCTTGAAGTTAAAAGTGCCTATATCGGATATCAAGATAAAGTTTTCATGATTAAGGATACTCCACTTAATAGTTCCAACCTTAGTTCATATATTCTTTAAATTTGTGTTCATATTTCCCCTGTATATCTTGTTTTCAAGAGTTGATTGACTTGTATAAACAATTGTCAACATTATTGATACTTAGTACTTCGTTGTGCCATTTTCAAGGTCTAGGATAGAACCAAGAATACCGATACCTTAGATCCACAGGTATTCAAACTATTAACATTAAGATGGGCATACATCTTTCACCAGCGCACCTCGTTTATACACTAGAGTCTTGCTTAATCTTATTTATTTAGTCTATAGATACAGGAACTAGAGCTCTAAGCCGTGAAACTGAAAAACACAAAATCAGTCACGGTTAGATCATTTATATTATGACTATTAAATAAATCGTAAAATAATGAACATGTAAAGTTAGCCAATAAAATTTGCTCCAGGTGTGTAATGTGAATATTTCATGACATATTAATGTGATTTAAAAATGCACTTACAAAGTTGATTAGGCCGGAGGTTAATAGCTCTTTAGATCTTAGCCAACATATCTCGTACACAACTATTGTTATCCCGACAGAGACTGGGGAAATAATTGTGTTAGATGTCTTGAAGAGGAGGAGGCACTGCTAAAATTTCTTCAGTTCCTCGTTCCGATCAAATTCAGGCAAAACAAATTTCTTAAACTTTTAAGGTATTTTAATTTTAATTTATTTAAATTTATGGGTTCGTTATTTTTAATGTCCCTTGGAACCAACCTATATTTTATAAGTTTATTTCCTAAAATGAATCCATATGATTAGAATGATGAAACGAAAGTAAAAAGAACAGGTTTAAATAATATTTGTGATGATTAGTCTGCACAACGTGACCCTGGTCTCTTTCTCGGAGCAGGACATTAAGCTCCTACTCAACAAGATCTCCGAGTACAACTTGACCCAGCAGTTCATGACAGTCTGTAATGATTTCATTACACTCCTTCAGGTTCTGGCTCTGCCAAAGGTAGATCAATTCATCATACCTCTACCCCCCCCCGTACCCTTCTCAGCGCTATTGAGATGGGTAACGTTTTTTATTAACGAAGTTTTTTTAACGAACGAACTTTTTGAGAACGAAACGAAATTTTTTCGTAAAAAAAAGAAAGAAAACGAACATGGACGAACGTGATGGATCGTTCAGAGGAATGAAAAAATTATCGTTTTTAAAAACGAACTAATATAAATAGCCGACTTGTGTTTTTTTTAACTTTAAAGAACTGTTATCTATCAGATTTTTATCAATTCTACCAACCCAATCCAATAACAATACATCGTTATTATCCTGTTTTATATATTCTAGGTTTTTGTGCGTTTTTGGAGGCTTCCCAAGAATCTGCCAAGTCAACATTTTATTTTATGAGTTTTTTGTTGAATGAAAAATTGCAAACTGTTGAGCGTTGATTCTTGCAGAAGGAGTTTAGGCTTAAACTCCTTAAACGAAGCAAAATAGTCGCCCTTTAACAAACGATTTCAGGCGATAATTTCTGCCAGAGTCATAATGGTATCAAGGAATAGAAGCAAAGTTTTAGAGAATACATTTTTGAATATGTTAATTTACCAGATTTTTGTGGAGTGCCCTAAAAGCCTAAAAATAATTTATGAAACGGATAGTAACGATTAACGATGCCTGACTGTATTAAACCTGGATCATGTTCAATGCTTTCTGTTTTGTAAATCTTTTTTACCAGAAATGTTTTTTATTTTCACTGTCATTTTTTCAGTCTGAAATGAAAAATATCTGCATTAATAGTTGTAAATGTTTGTGTCTAGGTTCCTTCTTGTCTCGATGAGCTCATTAGTACAAGATATCCTCAACTCATTTGCCTGCTCGGCAATAGCGTGCAGAAAGCACGCGCGCTTTCTCATGCTCTTCTCAATACAAACGAGCGCGACAACCTGGACGTTAACCGGAAAGATTTCAGTATTCTTGAGGAGTTCTTCCACATGAACTACTCGGTGAAGCTGGACGAGGGTAACGAGGATAACGTAAATCTCTACCTGGGAGATCTTGCTCTAACCGTCTCTGATTCGGACGTATATTCCATCATCCAAAGCCTGTGTGGGGTTAGCCCCTGTGATTTTAAATTGAAAATGTGTCGACATCCCAAAACCAGGATGTTTCTTGGTTATGCGTACGCACAGTTTGAAAACCACGACACTGCACTTCGTGTACTTTCAAGGTAAGAAAAAATGTCAATATTTTTAATATATTTTTTTCTTTTCTTTTTTATGTATAGGGTGAATAACGAGGTATTAAAAAACAAACCTATAAGAATAGTTTGGCAGAGTAAAGACGCTATTAGGTAAATATATGTTTTTCATCTTGATTTCAAAGCAATCCCTGTACTTATTTTTCAGCATAACATAGCATCTTCTGCCCCTTTTTAAAATGCTTTTCCAAAAATTTCCTGAAACGTCCATATTTTCTTGATTCCTCATTCCGTTCCAAAAAAAAAAATGCTTAAAATTAAGAATTAGTTCAGTTGAATTGAGGATAAAAAAAAAATGAAAAATTATAAAAAATGCGAATAAAAGTTGCAAGTTGATATTCATTTTTTGTTTCTCCCCGAAACCTTCAAACATTCCTATCTCTTCCTAGAGACTTCAAACCTCTAACTTAACTGTCTTGACATATTTTTAGTTATGACAAGAGTCGGAGCAATCTCTTTGTAAAGAACCTGGGAATCGAAGAAGTAGATCAGAAACGACTATACGACACTTTCAGAGTCTTTGGGAAAATACTTTCTGCCAAGGTATGTAAACAACTACCTAATAATCAAGAACAATGATGGTAGACCTCATTTCTTGAAGAATGTATTATTATTAAAAGAGTAAAGATTAGGCTTAAAAATAGAAAAATTCTTCTTTTTTTAAACCAAAAAAAACACTTTTAGCTGGATTTTTTCCAGAGTGTATCTTCTTTCATAAAGTTTTACACCTTAGCCTTTTTTTTAAGGTGGCTCTGGATAATCGCGGAGTTTCCAAAGGATTCGGTTTTGTTCAGTTTGATGAGCAAAAAAATGCACAGAGGTAAGTTAACTGAATAAATAAAAAGTTGACAAGCTATCCCTTTTCTTGCAAAGTGTGCAAGTACTCTATAAAAAAAGTTTGTTTGATCAGACCAAATAGATTCTAATGCAATAGATGGGTACGTAGAATTTGTACACTCTCAGTACAGCTGTATTCTGTCGTCACAAGTGTCAATCCAGTTTTTGTGTCCGACAAAATTATCAATAATAGTGATAATTGTAGAATAAAGTGCTTTTTTTACAGTTAAATAAGTGCAATTTTATGTGTTCTTTAGTTTCTGTTTTTACACTTTTTTATTTAATCTTGGAAAACATGTCAACTAATGTGAGAAAATTTCGTTTTCCTATTTATATTTGACACTTGTGACGTTATGTATAATTGGATTTAAAATTCAGTGATGGTGATGGACCAAACCTCTGTAGAGTAAAAAAGTAGATGTTAGTTCCACATTTATTGAAAATATATTTCGGTCTGGGTTGACCCTCGTCAGTTCTAACGATATAATAATCATCAAAATCGATAAAAAAAAAAAAAAAATGTAAAAATCACAAGAAGATAAACAAACAAAAAGATTATTCAAAATAAAAATTTGGGCTGTCAAATGGACATAAGGGAAAAGAACTCAGATTATGAGATGGAAAAAAGATAATTTGCTAATATTCACTTTCTAAAAAAATGTTTTAAGACAATTATTATTCCTTGAGATTGTTTCTTCACAAAGATTAAAAACAAACTGTGTAGATGTGTGAATATAGAGTTGGGGTGGGGGTATAATTGGTTCATTTCTTTGTTGCCACCTATTGTACTTGATAATCTATTTGGATCAGAATGCAAGTCAAAGTACCCTCTATGCAAAGATGACAATGCCCGACTCACAAAGGTACCCTTGAAACTTTTAGGTGACGTGCATTCATACGGTCAACTGTGTTTTCTCTACTGAAGGAAAACATAACGGATTTTTTTTTAATAAAACACTTACACACATGCATGGAGCATAACAATATCTTCAACATTTTTGATCATATAAAGGTTTTAAGGATACTTTTGTGAATCAGACATTGCCATCTTTGCATCGCAGTTTAGTCCCTTCAAAGTTTCCAACGCTGAATTAGTGATAATTTTCAAGATAAAATTAAAAAGGGAGGAAACCGTCCGGTTGATTTGGTTTGGTTTGGTTTGGTTTGATGATTTTATTTTATTTATTAAGTAAAACATTTATTTTCGGAAATTTTCGAAAATCATGTCTCATATTTAGAGCAATTAATGTAATGCACAATATCTGGACCTGTTGGAGAGTTCCTGGGGCTAAAACTCTTCAGTGGAGTAAACTCTTTGTAACTATAAAACTCTCTGATGAGGAGAGAAAGCGGGAAAGAAACCAAGAAATATCACAGAATCCCGGAAACTTAGTTCACGTTCAAATATACGGTAAGCCCTCAAAATACTTAGTTCTCCAGATTTGAAGAAATAAAATGAAATTTTTAAGATGGAGAAAGTTTGGACCCAGACACTTTGATTCCTAAATTTTCGTTTGGGCCGATCAATGTTATCAAAACTAGTCAGGTGATCATATAGATTTTTTCATTAAACAAAGTTGACATAAGAACTATGGTAAAATCTAAACACTGGATTGATTTCTCCTTTTACTTCCCTCTCTTTGAAAATCATTTGTCTTTCTGAATTTCGACATTTTTTGGACAAAAAACTGAATTTTCAGCCTCTTTCTTCGTTTTTCTTCCTGAGCTTCGAAAGTATGTTTTCTTATTTTTTGGTAAATAAATCAGTGAGTGTTCGCAAAAATTTAAAGGAGGGATATGCTGAACCCGAATTGAATTCTGGCTAATTTTAAGTCTTTTTCTCCATTTTTCCCCCCTGAGCTTCGACAATATTTTTTCAATTTTTTTGGTATCTCATTTTACTTCTATCTGTTGCGTACATAAGAAAGTAGAACCTAATAAATTCACTGAGTTTCATTATTCCACCCAAACCCTAATTAAGTCAATTAAAGGGGGGGGGGGCACAAAGCGTATTACTCTCCGGAAAACTTAAAATTGTCGTAGAACTCTGATTTTTTGCATGTGAATTCAAAAATTCATTTTCATAAAAATCCAAGCGTAAGTGCGCGCACGCACGCGGTTTTTCGCAGAAAATGTGACTTTTTCACATTTTTGCAATCTTGACACCATAAATATAACTATAATTTACTTAAAGATTCTTTTAAGCATGTAATTCCTGAACAGTTTTTTGCAAATGTTTGATATTCTTAATTAGTGAACATAATACTGTTATCATTCAGACTTAACTTGTTCTTTTTTTTCAAGGATTTTTCTAGCATGTATTTACTCTACGAACACGAGTCTGATTCCAAGCTGTCTGTTCAGACCCTAAACAACACAGAGCTTAATGGAAGTAGGTGGGTAAATATTCCAATACAGTGCTTAGGGTCCATTGATGTTGATCCGGATACTTTGGAACCCTGCCACCCGGATACTACTCCGGATATCAAACGTCCGCCCCTCCTTCTTAAATCCGGAACAAAGGAGCAAAAAGTTCTCATCTAGATCCTAACCATTGGTTTATTGTAGTGTGTACTGTAATTTTGATTTTAGTTAAAATTTTGTTTGATTTATTATATTTAATTTAAATTATTGTTCTGTGTAGATTGGAGGTAAAATTCTTGGATTGGAGAACTCTGCCTTCCTCTGACTTGGAAAGGAAAGGAAAAATGACACAAATGGAGATACCAAAAGGGGAGAACGTGAAAGAAGTCTTGCCTCGTAAAGTTCCAGTTCCTCCAATTGATCAGAAAAGTTTTCTCTCCAATAAAATTCAGAACGCTCTGCGGAAAAAACTGAAGGTCAGTTCTGTAAAAGTGGAGTTGAATAATTTGGTGTTTATGGTCCCAACTTTATGAATAACTGTATTTCCTGAATGGCATTCAATGTATTTATGCATTTTCGTAGATCATTATTTCGAACCCGCTTTTTTCAGTCGTCAATTTTGACTATTTCTATGGTTAGGTAAGGTTATGTAAAATTATAGTTTGGGTCTTAGGCTAGCTCGGTTTCATAGTTTGAAAAGTTACTTTTAGAGGGCAGCCAGTAGTTACCTACAAAGGTGTCACTTACAAATGAGAAAATGTCTTTGGGTTCATTGGGAAAGTATCATATAAAAAAATATGACAGAAAAGGAGTGTATATTGAAAAACATTAAGAAGGTGGTTTTCACTAGTAAAACTGCTGACAAAATGGTCTTTGAAGCTTAAAAGCAATAAATGAAATATGGAACTTAAAATTAGTACCCTGTCTTGCTTTTGATGTTATTTCCTCCCGAAAAATCGTTCATTTCCTCCTTACAAAATGTTGCTACTATAAGATCATTTAAAATAAGAGGAAGTGGGGGGGGATGTACTTATTAGAATTTCTCTTTAAACTTCGGCATTTCTTGGAAGTGTGGTTTGACTGACCTTTTGCTGTTGGCAAATCCGCAAACTTTTTGTATGATTTCATTTAGTTACTCCTCCTTAATTTATAAATGGAAAATTACAAATGGTGTCTTAATGTTTAGGAAGGTTTAGCCCAAAATGCAGGAAGAACTGTGACCCCGGAACCTGCGACGAAATATACGAACTTCTCTTCTCCTCCGTCTAACTCACAACTCAGCTCAGCAGGGCTGCCAGTCTCTAGCATCCAGTTCAAGGCGGATAATGGATATCCTCATTTTGCATTTAATACTTCTCTTCCGCCCCCGCCAATCAACTTCTACAATAATACTCCACCTCTTAATCCAGAGCCAAGAGTGCCTCCGCCCTACGACGGCGGATATCCCTGGTCCTACAAGGCAGTAAACGAACCCTGTGATAGATTTTCTCCTGGTCCTAACTCTGAGTTCCCTCTCAGGCAACAGGGGTTAACCTCATCCTTATCTCAGTATCAGGACCGCCAACCGTCTTCTTCTCAGATACTAATAAATAGCTCACCATTAGTACATTCAAACACAACCCTTAACTCGCAAAATGATTCAAGAGTGTGGATGAACCCAGATCAATATTCTCAACCAAGATCAAAGGAAAGGCTTAGATCACGTTCGCGATCAAGATCAAGGTCACATTCAAGATCCAGGTCACGGTTGAGAACAAGAAGAAGCCCCAGCTCCAGTTGGAGTTCATCAAAAAGAGCTTCTTCAAGGAGATCTCGTTCACGAAGCTTTGACCAAAGAAATAAATATGACTACTCGACAAAATCAAAGTATGGCCGGAAGTACTCTGGAAGATCCAGATCTTAAAATCATCTGTCTAGTCAAAATTTTCCACAGGATATTATTTGATATTAAAATGTTATTATACGTTTGTAAAGCGAACATGCTATTTTCCACGCATCAAATGTGTTTATGTAAATGTTCATGTTTGTAAATTCTTTAATCCTTGGGTCAGTCCATTTGAAACCAGCCACTCTTCTAATAGGCACTTACTCTTATTATTAATACTTGATTAGACCTATGTAAGTCATGACATAATCTGAAGTTTGTTTCCCTTTGTGAAGGGTTGGTCCGGAGTAACAAGGTCACGAAGTTGTGACCTCTCCATAAAGGTCATTCAATTAAAGCACAATCGTAACCTTTTTTCATATTGACGCCAGTGAAAAGAAAAGAACGATGTCTGAATTTTTAAAGGAAATAAGCCTAATGGTGGTGTTTAAGGGGTGAATATTAACCAAAAATGAAAGACATTCAGAGCATCCCATATTATAGTAGATTATCTCTAAGCTAAAACCCATGTAGACAAGGGTAAGTGGCTGGAGCTCGACCCTGGAGCTCACCGTAACATAGCCTACAGGACATGATACTTTGACTGTAGGTTGAATGTTAATAATAATAACAAGCTTTAACGCTAAAATACGAATGTAATACTCCAAAAATCTAGCATTTTCTGCACGAAAATTTTAACATTAGCCTTTTAAGTTTTTCAAAATAGTTTATTATTTTTTATTTTTCTGATTGAGGGGAGGAAGGCCAACCACATCAATCTCTAGTCCGAACCACATTCTCCTCATTTTCTCTTCCGAACCACCTCGAAATCCTCGTCCTTTCAATATTATTATTTTAAGTGTCTAATCCTTCCAGATAAGACTAATTTTAAAGAATCGAGCCACGTTAGGGCATAAATGAAATATCAAATTTTTGTAAATCGAAAAAAAAGTTTTAATTGAATTAAAGATTTCAAGTTCAATGTCTTTAAAAAATAATTTCAAGTTTATAGAATTTCAATCTTTTTGTTAACTTTAGTGAAAACAATAGAATTTTTCCGGGTGGTTCCATGGGGAAAATTATAGGCAGAGGTATGCCGAATATTTTGCTATTTTTTCATATCACGAAGGTTAGCCATTACGGAGGCAGAAGAGATTTAAGTTTTACCTAAATAAAGTTTGACATCATTCTCATGGGTTTGAAGATTCCAACATGATATAATCATTGCAACACTTTAGTCCATCCATAACGTCTCGAAAATCGCAATTTAGAGCAATTAACGATCCAATATGATGTGGGACATCATATTAGTATTCTTAGATTTTTTAAATTCATGAATTACTTCTTAATATATAGACATTGGACATTTTGATATTACTATTCACATTCACTGATTTTGGATTGTCTGGACAAAATATTGAAATTGAGGCCATGTGTCTTCAAAATGTAAAGAAATACATTTTTGATACATACACATATGCGAAAGAACAACAAACCAGTTCACTCTGAAAATCTTACCATTGGACAAATATTTTTCTAGTTAAATTCGGTTGGACTTAGGGAATAGCTTTAGTAGAGAATTGTTCTAACCATGGATTGGTTCTAACAGCATATAAGCTGACACTGTGCACTGAAGGCGTTCCTTCTACAGATAGTGGACGTGTAGTTCACGTACTTTGGAGGACGATAATTTGGCCGCTAGATGTCTCCCGTGAGTTATTCATGGACGGACAGAGTTTCTCACCCCATACGGTATCTGGATCATTAGCCGTGCATTAGCCGTACTGTGGCCATAATTTACTTTGAGAAAAGGTGGCAGCACTAATCAAAGTATAGCTTCTGATAATCTGATTTCATAAATTGATTGCAGTGTTGTTTTTGAGATCCATTATGAATTTGAAATAAAATCAAAGTATAGTTTCCTTTGTTTAAGATATGTTTGCTGCGTTCAAATCAAATTCGTAATAAGCTTTCCCTTTTTTCCGTCGATAGGGGTCGCATATGTATGTGTTTATGGTCGGACAATACTCGGACACTGATAACTCATGGAAGAACGCGTTTGAACAAAACAATATTTCTCTGTACATTTCACAACCAATATAGGAGACGTCAAGTTGTCGATCAATGTAGTTTATGGAAGGAACGGCCTCTGTGCAGTGCAGTATACAAAATGATAACAAATTTTTAAACTTTGAAAGCTAATATCTTAACTTTTCACGAGAAGATTTTACCAAGCATATAGGTCCTTTGAACATGAGAATATTTTCTAAGAAATATGTCTAATGGATCACTTAAGTTATGGATATTAGAAATTAGTTTTCATTACTAAAATGTTTTATGACACCAAATTATATAAAAGAATATTAAAAAACCCTTAAAAAACCGTTTGATGAAAATCGTTGTGTAGGTTTAAAAAAACATAACATAACAAATTATTTCTCTAACATTTAACTTTAACAGAAAGTTGTTTATACATTAACAAAGAATATAGATGAATTTGTAAAAAAAACCAGGTATATTTCTTTCAATAGCTTTTTTATGTTGATATCTACCCCTGAACCACCACCAAAAATACTTTTTTAATAAAGCCCTGTTAACTTTTTGTAATTTGCCTTGAAGTCAAGCCAATATCTTAATGAACCAAAAAAATTGTTGAAAGTGTCTGAACTCAAATGGACTGATCCCTGCAGTGCAATCGTCGCCATTCATCAATCTCTACCTTAGACTCTTTGTATGTAAATTCAATTTCTATTTTTTTTCAGACCAATTAAGAGTACTTGTGGCATCAGTTCTACTAAAACATGTAAGTAGATTGAAGTTGTTCTCGCCAGAAAGAAAGTAATTCATTACAGCGACATCAAAACGATAGGAGAAGGGGTGTGAAATTTTTAGACATTTTTCAGAAATTTTACAAAAGCAAAATTGTAGTTCTAGAAAATTTATTGGCATGATTTAAAAATAAAATGTTCACAAAATTCAGAAATGACTCCCTGAAATGGGTTGAAATGATAAATATGTAAATAAAAAAACCTATTAAAAATGAAAATTTAAATCTTAACAAATATTCTTTTTATGGGTACTTTTGAAAATGGGTTGTTTTCCCAAATTTAAATCAAATCACAGAATATAAAAATATTGCAAATTGGTCGATTTAAAGTATGTAAACACATTTTTAAGTATTAACAATATTTAAATGGAGTTAAACTTTTTTATTATAGATAGCTTAATTTTAATATTTTTGAAATTTTTTTATCGTTTTTTGAACTTCGGTTATCATTTCATGCAGAATTTATTGATACCCATTTCAAAATACTTGTAAAAATTGGATTTTCACCTATACTAGTGATTTTTATACATTTTTATCTTTAAACCTTATCTGAGGTCGAGCCATTTTTTGTTAAAAATGCATTTTTATTTTGTGCCTTAAAATTTCAAGAAGAATATAATTTTGCTTTTATACAATGATTTCATAAAAATTTCCCAAAATTGCACACCCTTCAATGATAGTATTGATGAAAAAGTTTTTTTTCTAAAAGCTGGCAATATAATGACATATTTTAAGACTAATTTGCTATTTTGAGTGCTTAATATTCTCAGTCTCGAAGCTAATTCCTTAAAAAATAATTTATTGGGAGTTTGACCCCCCCCCCATCTTTTCAAAGAGCTGGATTCGCCCCTGGTGCAGTGCAGGGGAAACACAAGCCATGGTGTTTATGCGCTAAAGATTAAAAAAAAAAAAAACAAGATTGTTTGCCTGCAACACCGCTTCTAAAAAATTCAACATTTTTATCTAAAATCCATATATTTATCCCTGATGGGTTATCCCCCTCTTCCTTCTCAATCATCTATCAGAAGTCGTACTTTAAATTTATTTCCCTCCCCACAAGCTTTAACGNTCCGACCTATTTTACCTTTTATAACTCTTTTCACAGTGCAAACCATATATTCACGCTCTTACGCAAAAATCTAGTAGTATTTTGCCAATTGAACCTTTTAAACATTTGCAAGTAAGCAATAACTTATAGCATTTAAGGGTTTTAGAATTTTAAAATATTTGCAAACTAAAAAAATTGTCTATTTTGAAATATGATGCCAAAATTTAACCCTAGTTTAATGAATAAGAGCAAACTTTTACAAATTATTGGAACCTTAGTTTTATGGAAACATATTTTAAGGTGCCACAGAGGAACCACAGACCCTTGTAATTTGTGCAAGAAAATTGTTTAATTACTCGTAAATTTTTTTTTATTTGTATGATCTGTTTCAAAATGTTCTGGATGTTCTGAAAATCCCAATTCAGAGCTATACACGATCCTATATGACTTGCTTGGGGGAAAATTCCTATTGAAGTTCCCTCTAAAATTTCTTGAAAGCTTGGACTGACCTGAGTAAAATTTAGATAATATACATATGTATTTCTTGCGTCTCCCTTTTGACCTTAAGGTTTCCGGTTTTTTTGTTTGTTTATTAAATAACATTGATTCACATATCCTATGATCTCTTGACACATTTTGTATAAATTAGTATAAAAGTTATCTCAAAGTTATACCAAATGATTAGATATCTCATTAATCCTTGATCACTGATCAAGTTCAGATTTAGGGTACCATTGTGAATAGGACTTGTGTCATTCTATAATCGGGGGGGGGGGGG